CCTCGCGGGCCCTGGAGAGGCGCCCGGGCGGCGCGGGCTCCTGGCGGGCGCGGGCGGCGCCGCTGCGGTGGCCCCGCTGCTGAGTGGTGGGACGCGATTTACTGGCTGCAATTCCCGGCGCCCCTCGATGGCACTTAAGAGAGACCGGGAGGGAGCCGGGGAGAGCGGGCGGAGGGCGGGCGGGCGGAGGAGGGGGGGCGGAGGGCGGGCGGGCGGGAGAGGGCGCAGGCTGCGGCTGCTCCGGCTGCTGCCTCTGCTGGTCTGGGAGGGGGACGGGGCGGAGCGGCCCGCTTTCAACCCCGCGCACCCTCCGACCCCGGAAGCGCTAACCGCCCCGGGGGCCGGCGAGGCGACTGCGTCGCCCAAACCTTCCTCACGCAATGCGGACGGCCTCCCAACAGCCTAGAGCGGCTCCATGGACAGCGTCGGCACCAGTGAGACAACACCTGGTAGCGAATGGCCAAGTCTTATGATAGAGCGGCAGCGTGAGGACAGGGAGGAAGCTAGTGGCCCCTAGCGGGCTGATTGGAAAGATCAGGCGTGAGTGCGGAGAGAGTTGGCAGTCGCCATGGATAAAGGAGACAAGAGGGAAAAGGGATGGGTGAGAAGAAAAGAAACGGGAAAAACCCAGTAGTCTATAGTAATACTCATAAAAAAATAAAAGAAAGAAAGAAAGAGAGAAAGGAAGAAAAGAAAGAAAGAAAAAACCTAATTTGCCACATTGAAGGCGACTTTTACATCAACTCCTTACTCTGAAAATTAGTGATCAAAAGGAAAGAATTAAGCATTTACTCCTTCTTAGGAAGAACTGCAGTTCATCCGTTGTTGGTAAGGGAAAACTCTTTTTTAAAAGATTTCCATCTAATAAATGTAAAAAGAATGAAAGAGTTAGAAAATCACCATCCATTCTGCAACCCAAAATGAAATAATTCATTCAGGCCGGTGGCATCAGTCATCAAAACTTTAAGTGAAAGGTTGATGGGGGAGAGGATATTATCATAGGGCCAAATATCACCACACACATTACTGGCAAATTGCACAGAAAAAAAAAAAGTAATCTAAAATGGAGAGATCTGATAATCACCACCGTACCCAAGTGATCAAACGTTGCAACACTAATAGCAGGACAAGTTTGACATTATGTGGTCCCTGATTAAATAAAATAAATACATAGCATTGTCTATTAAGTATTCTTGTCAAAAGTGTTTAATCTTAATCTTATCAACCTTTAGACCTAATGTGCAGTATACAGGAAATTTATGAGGGATAAAGGAATAAGTTAAATACAACACACTGCAGGGAGATAATCAACAAACTCAGAATGGGGATAGTCTGCAAAACAACTACTCGAGGGGACACCTGGGTGGCTCAGTTGGTTAAGCAGCCAACTGGATTTTGGCTCAGATCATCATTTCAGGGTGGTGAGATGGAGCCCAGGTAGGGCTCTGCAATCAGCAGGGAGTCTGCTTGAGATTCTCTCTCTCCCTCTGCCCCTCCCTGCCTCTCAAATAAATCTTTTTTTTTAAAGATTTTATTTATTTATTTGAGAGAGAG